GCCCGCGCGGCCCCCCCCCGGGCCCCCCCCCCCCCCCCGTTCGTAACTAGGGATCCAACGTAAGTCGGATTAATGTAACCCGGGGACTTCCTGTATATCAGAATACCCATATTGATTTGATTTGTGCATGGTAGGCAACTTGCTGTACCTGCCTTAGCTGTACAGTAATCAGAATCAGGTTTCCATTATTTCAGTATTGAGAGATATCTAAATATAACCGTGGGGAAAAAAGTCCAATCATGTCTGGTTAAATAAACCCTGTATCCTTAGTGTTTCTGACAAAAGCAAACTGATTCATACAATTTGCACTACAGCTCACCCACTCTATTGGCTTAGATTACAACTGTACTAATAGTATTGATCTTAGACACACATTCTAAATCTTTATCAAAAAAAGATTCAAAGCGAACGGAAAGGCACCAGACATTCAAACTGAAAGCCTCTGAGATTAGTATATGTGATCATTTCAAATATTTATTTCTATTACTACTTAGTCATATTTTAATGTCATTATACATATTTCTTTCAGTATTTTTACAGCACTCATGGATATGATATCTGAATGTCACACAATAGATTAAAACCAAACATATACAAAGCATATGAGTAACCTGTACAGAGAAATTTGTAAGCCATTACTTCTCTTTTTCTGTTGCACAAACTCAGGAGCAGTTAAGTGAAAAATAGCTATATGCATATATTATCCACTGCCAAAGGGTGAGTTTACTTAGCTCTAGGTGCTATACTATTATATATCTTGTTGTCAAAGTTGAAAGTTTATATTTATTTTAGAAAAGTTCCAGAATTTGACAAGATTGACCCAACAGGGGTGGCAGGTGGAGGAACCAAAGTCTAACATTACTAGATATAGTTGCATATGCTATATACTGACTGATGATTTGCAGGGCCATCCTTATGGTTTATGAAGCAAAATGCAGGACAATGTAGCACTTTAAAGACTAACAAGATGGTTTATTAGATGATGCGCTTTCGTGGGCCAGACCCACTTCCTCAGATCAAATAGTGGAAGAAAATAGTCACAACCATATATACCAAAGAATACAATTAAAAAAATGAACACATATGAAAAGGACAAATCACATTTCAGAACAGGAGGGGAATGCAGGGGGGAGGAAGGAAGGAAGGTAAGTGTCTGTGAATTGATGATATTAGAGGTGGGGAGAGTGGGATGTCTGTGAGCTAATGGTATTAGAGGTGATAATTGGGGAAGCTATCTTGGTAATGGGTAAGATAGTTTGAGCGTTTGTTCATTCCTTCCCGGAGAGTGTCGAATTTTAACATGAATGACAGTTCAGAGGATCCCTTTCAAGTGCAGATGTAAAAGGTCTTTGTAGCAGAATGCAGGTGGTTAAGTCATTGAGAGAGTGTCCTTTCTGGTTAAAATGGCAAGAAACTGTTTTTTCTTTGTGATCTTGTTTGATATCTGTTTTGTGGGCATTAATCCTTTGGCGAAGTGTCTGAGATGTTTGTCCAATGTACATAGCAGACGGACACTTTCGGCACATGACAGCATAAATTATATTTCTGGATGCGCAGGAATATGTGTTCTTGATCTTATAACTCACTTGGTTAGGTCCAATAATGGTATCAGCGGAATGAATATGTGGACAAAGCTGGCAATGGGGTTTGTTGCAAGGGAAGGTACCAGGGTTGGTATTAGTGTGGTATGTCCTGTGGTTGTTGGTAAGAATCATCTTGAGGTTAGGTGGTTGTCTATAGGAGACTATGGGTCAGTCTCCCAGAGCCTCTTGGAGTATGGTATCCTGTTCCAGTATAGGCTGTAATTTATTGATAATGTGTTGGACAGGTTTAAGTTGGGGGTTGTAGGTGATGACAAGTGGTGTTCTATTGTTGGTTTTCTTGGGTCTGTCTTGAAGTAGATGGTTTCTAGGTATTCGTCTGGCTCTTTCAATTTGCTTTTTTATTTCTCTGGGTGGGTAGTTGAGGTTTATAAATGCTTGGTAGAGATCCTGAAGCTTCTGGTCTCTGTCAGTGGGATTAGAGCAGATGCGGTTGTATCGAAGGGCTTGGCTATAGACGATGGATCGTGTGGTGTGTTCTGGATGGGAGCTGGAAGCATGTAGGTAACTATATGAGTCCGGCTACATTTCTATCACTATTCTTATGGTTTATGGTTCTCTATATGAAGTCGGGAAGAAACGGAGGAGTGGCTACTCTACAGTGTGGGGGCCAGAACAAAAGGCTGCAGTGGCAGGAACAGGACAAAGCATCATAGGAACAGGAACTAGGGGTGCTGTAGCACCCTCACATTTTACAGCTGCTATCTGGGGCTTTGCCATCAGCTCCAGGTCTGGAGTCCTAACTGCACCCCAGGGCTCCGGCACCACCCCAACTCCTAGGGTCCTAGCTGCTAGCTCCATGCCTGGAGTCCTGGCTGCCACCTGGTGCGCCATTGCCAGACCCACACCTATCCCATGCCCCCTGTCCTGTCGAGGTTCCCGCCTTCCAGAAACTGTGAGCCAGAGGGACTGGGGCTGGCTGCCGGACCCAGAACTGCCTGCACTTTGCTGTCCTATTCCCCCAGTGATGGCCCTAAGCAGCTGCATATTTTGTGTATGCCTAAGGACGGCCCTGATGATTTGGGTCCAGTTCTGCCACCCATACTTATGGCTTCAATGTAATTATTAAATTACAATTATAAAATAAATAAATAAATCTGAAGGCCTGCTCCTGCCCACATTCTTAAAAAATCAGTGGCAAAACTCTCATTGATTTCAATGGGAAGCTGGGTTGGAATCATGAACATTGTGATATAGCACTCTCATTTTTACCATTATTTTAGTTCATTACAAGCCTGATTCAGAAAAGGTATTTAAGCATACCACTTTATAAATCCATAGTGCACCCACATCTTGAAAACTGTGTCCAGTTCTGGCCACCCCATCTCAGAAAGGATATAGTGGAATTGGAAAAGGTCCAGGGCGGGCAAGAAAGATGATCAAAAATACGAAATGGCTTCTATATGAAGAGGGACTAAAATGATTAGGATTTTTTAGATTAGAAAGGAGACAAAAAGGGGGGATATGATACAGATCTATAAAATTATGAATGGTGTGGAAAAAGTAACTATCAAATAACAATTCTCTCTCACACACAATATAAAAACATGGTCACCCAATGAAATTAATAGACACCAAAGACAAACAAGTTGAAGTATTTTTTCACACAATGCAGTCAACCTGTGAAATTCATTGTCAGAGGACACTGTGATGGCCAAAATCATAACTGGGTTTTAAAAAATGGCTATTAGCTAAGAAAAACAGGTATATAACCTCATGGTTGAGGTGGCACTAAAGCTCTGACTACCGGGTACAAAGAGGGAAACACAAGGGTGTAGTTCTCCAAATTGCCCTGCTCTGTTTACATCTCTGTATAGCTCTGGTACTGGCCACAACTGGAGACAGGGCACTGAGCAGATGGTCCATTGGTCTGAGCCAGTATGCCCATTTCTCTGTGCTCAATTGGGGCCACTCATGAGCTCAAAGTTCAGCACCTTCCTGAATTGAGATCTTACTCATTAATGTCTGTAAGTTCAACATTACATCTTCCAACCAGTAGTGCAAATTTAGTGAGGTTTTTACTTGTACTGCCTAATTAGGATTTCATTTTTTCATAAATCAGTGATACTTAACACCTAAAGTATTTATTTTAGTCTGCATTAAAATGGAATACAGATTGGAATGTTGCATGGCATGTGCACAGATTAATATCACATGATGTAATATGCATAGTAATATCACATTATGTAGTAAGTGCTAGAAGCTCCAAAATTTTGTTTAAAAAACCCACATTCTTAAATTATAGAAATGCAGCAACAAATACAGATATAGATGTGTCAAGAAATTCGAGGACAATCAATAGTCAAATTATTAGCCTCGATTTACCAAATCTCATCCAGGACATTATTTTATTGCAGAAATCCTAAATATGAATGTATTTGGTGTCCTATAGAGGTAGGCATAGAGCCAAAGGCAACATCCAAGCATTCCTGAACTTCAGAGAAGTTCAGTTCTAGTACTGGCTCCATACTTAATGGTTGGCCCATCTCTAACCAGAACTGAATTCTACATCTGAACTTGGCACCTTGGGACCTTCTCTACTATTCTTGTTCCCAAATCAAAGTAATTTTCGTTTCTACCTGCAATCAAAATAGGTTTCAACTCCGTTTGCTTTTGCAACTTCTTCCCAGACCCCCATCTACAGAAAATTAATTGTTTCTCAAATAAAAAGGAACAACATGTGTTTTATTTTAACCTGCATTCAGCCAGACCTTTCGCCTGAGGCATTCTACAAACTGATGGCTGCTGCTCATGATGGCGTCTGCAATTTAACTGTGATTGTACTGGCTGTAGCAGACAAGTGAAACATAAAATCTTATCTGTTACCTGACCAGGGTTGTGAAGGCTTAAATCTAGTCCACATGTAAATTCTGTATGATGCTCCACAGTCTCTAGCAAGGGATTAGGCTTGGAAAAATCCCAGAATCTACAGAAAGAAACAAAAAAACAAATAATGATGGTATCTGAAAGGACATTTTAAAAAATATAATGCAGGGCACTGATATGCCTGATGATACCAGAACCTTTTAAAAAGCACGCTCACCCACTTTAGGAATATAATTAATCCCATTTCTGAAAAACTCTGTGCTGATCTACATAAATAAGAATTTAATTAAGGAAAACCATATCCTTTATCTCATTACAGAAACTGAGATAACAGAGCTGGCACCAATGATCTGCCCTATAGATAATCTGTAAAAAAAAATGGTAGGCTGGCCTTCTTTATTAATATCCAATTCTTCTTAATATCTGCCAAGTTAAATCTATGACACATACTTCATGGCAACTCAATACTTTGTTTTCTTTTTTGCATAGTCTGATGTGGCTGTCTGTTTACTGAAAATTACAAATGGGTTATAAATATTGATAGTTTCTGACCCCAGATTTATTTGGGAGCAGATTTCTATATAATACAATATGCCATTACATTTTTCTAATTGATTTATATGCTAAAGGGAATGATTTGACTCAATTTTAATTTTGCGATAATTCATTCTTCTAAGACTTGAAAAAATGTAATTCTAAACTCTTCTATTTCTACAATTTTAATCCCAGTCACTCCCTAATACAGAGTATAAATCATACTGGGTATAAGCAGTAAAAAGTAATAATAATAATAGGAAAAATATAGGAAAGGAAGAGGGGGGAAAATAGCATCTAATGTGTTACCACAAATATTACCACCTGCGATCTGGAAAAATGCATTCAGCATGTTAATGACTTTTTCAGATGACTAAATGGAGCAGGACTCTAAATTATAATGAGGACACAGTAATAAGAAAGTGTCTTAAATTTCTTTGATTCTGTGGTATTGTCTGTTGGGAAAAAATGTATAGCAAAACTCAGGAACTGCAGGTTTTCTTGGGCTATCATGGTTTGGCAGCAAGAACCAGTCTCTATACATATTGCAGTGTCTCATAGCAGTCAGAGATAATTCTTTTGTTTTTTGTATAATATGGATACCCACACCTCTGTTCTTTTCCCCCAGTCGATCTGATAATAATGAAAGAGAAAAATAATCATTAGGGCTAGTTACACAGAAAGGACTGTAGGT